GAGAAAACCATAGGTACGTCAATCCGTTCGGAAACTAGTACCAAACGCGCTTCGCGCGCGCGTGTCAGAATCGCCTGGAAGCCCTTGCGCGCGCGCCGTCACGAAAATCCTCTGCAACAGATGAAAGTGCGCGCGCGTCGGCGCGTTCGCATGCCGAAAGCGTTTTACAAACTTTCGGTTCTGGAAGGGTTTCAAACATTGAGTCTCCAAACAACATGCAAACACACAGGGTTTCGCAACATAAATTTAAACAAAACAACAGCGTGCGCGCGCTCTTGCAAGTTCTCAAGAAAACAATCGGCTTTCCAAGAATTCCATAAGATGCTACCAAACAGGTTTCGCGTACGCATGTCGAAATCGTTCGAACGCCCTTGCGCGTGTGCTGGGGCGTCACGATCCGTGTCAAATAATACCATGCGAGCCACTCTCGCGCGTGTGCCGCCCGCGCATTTCGAATCCTTTCCGAAACCTTCACCCCCGAAACAAAAACCCGTCATCGTCGTCGGCGTGATTCGCATCGGCGCCGTCACTGGCCGTGCCGTCGTCGTTGTCAGCATCGTCGCCAAAATCGTTACTATCATCATCATCGTCGTGTCTACAATAGTCGACGTTGCCATGATACCGCGGCCGCCCAAGTCACCGACTCGCAATCAAGTGCCCGCTGGGATGTGCCGAGCCGAGCGGTCAGCACCACCGCGGCCGCGTCGGTCGCGCCTAACTACCTGGCCGGTGCGCGCGCGCGCATGCGCGGCCGCAGAGATGCACCAGCCAGCGCCGGGCACTCATCGCAAACGCCGCCGCATGAGGTTTGCAAACCGATCAAGCGGGTGGGTGGGTGGGATGTTTGCGTGAACGGTGGAGTGGGCAATTCATAGATCGTACCACGTAGCCTACATAACATGAGTTCGCGCCGTCTGGGCTGATACAACCTGTGTTTGGGGTCCGCGATGGCTTACCGGATTCATGCCGGATCGACGCACAGGAGCGCGAACCTGCTGTAATTTGCGAGGGTTTGTGGTTCCGGGCGCGCGAGCCATTAGTATTTTGCAATGGATTGTGGTTTTCGTGGTTCGGGTATGTCGTATGTCAGTGTCCCAGGACACTGCCAAATAATCAGAGTGCGTGATTCTGGCGTGGTTACGGGGGTCCTTTTCGGGCTCCCCCCTCCGCGCGGGCTTCAACCACTACACCACTGGAGCGGGAACAGAAAACATCCATTATCATCCAGTTGCCTGTAGCAAGTCCCGTCGCCGTGCCAGCCCAGCACGTTCGGCGAGTCTCCTTCGATGGGGGTGTTGGAGGCCGTACTTGCGAGGGGTGAACATGATGATGCTGACGATGATGCTGTTATTGTTGGTGATGATGATGATAATAACGATGCGGATGTGGATGCGGATGCTGATGTTGATAATGTCGATGATGGCGATGGTCATGATGATGATGGTGATGGTGATGATGATGGTGGTGGAAATGCTGACGGTGGTCATGCTGATGATGGTGATTGTGATGGTGATGGTGGTTGTTGTGATGATGCTGGTCGTGAATCATAGTGAGGATGGTGATGGAGATGGTGATGGTGATGGTGATGGCGGTAGTTGTGGTGGAAGTGGGCATGATGGTGATGATGATGACAATGGTGATGATGATCATGCTTGCGATGATGGTGATGCCGCTGCTGCTGCTGATGATGCTGTTGCTGCTGATGGTGGTGATGGTGGTAGTGATGATGATGATGATGATGATGATGATGATGATGATTCGGATGATGATGATGTTGATGATGATGACGTTGATGATGATGATGGAGGTGATATTGGTCATGCCGCTGATGCTGATGATGATGATGATGTCGATTATGATGATGATGATGATGATGATGATGATGATACTGTTGTTATCATGATGATGATGATGATGATGATGATGATGATGATGATGATGATGATGATGATGATGATGATGATGATGATGATGATGATGATGATGATGATGATGATGATGATGATGATGATGATGATGATGATGATGATGATGATGATGATGATGATGATGGTGGTGGTGGTGGTGGTGGTGGTGGTGATGGTGATGGTGATGGTGATGGTGATGGTGGTGGTGGTGATGATGATGATGATAATGATGATGATAATGATGATGGCGATCATTTTGATATCGTGAGTGCCCTCTCGGGGGCTTGCTGGAGGCAGTTTCGAGGCCTCTTGGGGGCCGTCTGGCGGCCTCTTGGAGGCTTCTTGTGGGCCTCTTGGGGCTTCGTTGAGACCTCTTGGGGTGTCCGGGAAGCACCTTCTGGCGGAAGGCTGGAATTTTCGGTTCGTGTTCCCCCTCACGGGCCGCTCTTGGGGCCGTTTTGGGGCTCCCTTGGGATGATTTGGGCGCCTCTCGCTCGGTTTTGGGGCCGTCTTGGGCTGTCTGGGACCCTCTTGGGGGCCTCTTGGGCCGCCTTAGGGCTGTTTTAGGGGCCCCTGGGGCCGTCTTGGAGACGTTCGCCAAACCATGTTCCAACAGTTACATGGGTGGAGGGCGGGTGGTTTTCAAAATGGGGCTCTCGATTTGGCGACGCGTCCACTCGTATCAAAGCATCTGAAGGTGACGTGGATCGAGAGCGAGTCGTTTGGAACATGCGGCTCTTGCCTCGGCACCAGGCACACCCGATTCAGAATTCAACATTTGCATGGATGGATCGCAATTCCTTCTCACAATGGGGACCTCGCCTTGGCGCCGCGGACGCGCGCCTTCACCAACTCCAACAGTTGCACAGATGGAGGGTGGTTCCTTGTCACAATTGGACTCGCTTCAGTCCTCCCCAGCATGTGTTACCTCCGGTATACACTTGTACAACATGTGCACCGGCGGAGAGCGGTTCTTGCCCAAATGGGTCGCTCGCTTGAGGCATCGCTCGGTTGTATGACCAGACGCCTGACACAAAATTTACGGCTACCCGAATGGAAGGCGGTTTCTTTTCAAAGTGGGGCTCTCGTTGGGCATTGTTTATAATTTTGCGACCGCACCTTGTCGCATTGCTTACAGCTCGAAGCATGCAGGGCAACTTCTTTCAAAACGAAGCTCCCGCCAGAACTGTGGGCCCATGGTGCGTTCGTTTTTCAATTGGGGCATTTTGCGCAGTGAAGGAGGCTTGTAGGGGCGAATGACAAGAGGTTCTGGGACGGGAGGGCGCATCGCAGCCTCGTTTGTACTCTGGTCCTCCTTATCATCCCCACCACGACCCTCTACATCATCCTGCCTCCTGCTCGTCGGTCCCACACCCTGGTGTGAATCTGGAATGGTGTGCCCGGCGACGTTTCCACATTGTTATGCCGTTTGTGTTGTCTGCAGCTCTGCCGGCTCCCAGCTATTTGGGACCATGCTGCGTGTCTGTCACGCCTCAGCTCAGTTTCAACAATGTGAACACATCACCCCTGATTCACCAGACAGCAGGCCATGGCTGAATACCGTCGCGTAGACCAGCTGGTTATTTCCATCAAGTTGGAAGAAACAGAGAAGAACAGGGAGATGAGCAGAAGGAGGGGGAATAGGAGGAGGATGAGGAGGAGGAGGAGGAGGAGGACCGGCGAGAATTTGCGAAGGATCCACTCACCTTGGGCCAGCGTTACAGCTTACCAGCACTGAAATCCCCGACCATGCCCAGGACCTCAGAGCCGTCTAAGCGGAGGGACAACGACTCCACAAGGATGGCACTCAGATGCGGCCCTCATTCAACACGGCCCAAGCGTCGTCCCTCATGGTTCAGCAGGCGCCGCGGCATTTTCCCGGCACCATGTCCACCACGCAGTCGGCCGCCTCCTGAGTTGTTGCACGTCGATGTTGTCGGGTCTACCGCTTCTGGTGGCATCGCTAACAGGTGCATCGCAAGGCCCGCTCACTCGCGGGGCCGTCTCTGTCCCACCTCGGCACAAAGACGGGGGATCAGCACGGAGGGCGTGTGCAGCAGCAGTGTCAGCAAAGCCTCCGAAACACCGTCGCTATTGCCCACAAGGCCGCCGTTGCACATGACCTTGTCCCCATCCTGCTTCATCACATTGTTGTCCCTACCCTCGCACGAGTAGCACATGACCGTGCCAGCGGGCGCTGCCTCCCACGCAGAGGGATAGTACCGCTGTGCCACATGTGCAGCACACCGAGCGCATAATGACCAACTCGCCGACCGCCTCCTCGCACAGAGGCAGCAGGTACAGTACACGGGGCCTCGTCGCAGCCGTTACCTCGGGCTGCCACTAGTTGCGTCCGCCGTAGCCGCGCACGGCAGCATGGAGACCCACTTTCCTTGGGAGTTTGCCAAACCATGCTGAATCCACGCCCTGCACCAGCGCGGAAGGGGAACTGCACGAACACCGTCGACGACTCCTTCAAGGGTCACCATCATGTCCAGGGCTTCCTTACAAAGCGCCACAAGGCAGCCGCTGATCCAGAGCCGGCTGCGGCCACCGAGCGCCGCCGCGCCGCTGTGCGCTCTGCTTGCGAGCGCCTCTTCAACGAGGGACTGCCATTCAGCGGCGACCCCGCCGCGCCATCTCACGCAGCCCAGCGACCCGGCCCAGCATGCTGCGACGGGGGCCGATCCTGGGGTCGAGCCACGAGTTGAGCCAAAATGGCCACGGAGAGGGATTGGGAGGAGGAGGAGGAGCAGGAGGAGGAGGAGGAGGAGGAGGAGGAGGAGGAGGAGGAGGAGGAGGAGGGGGAGGGGCAGGAGGAGGAGGAGGAGGAGGAGGAGAAGGAGGAAGAGGAGAAGGAGGAGGGAGGGGCAGGAGGAGGAGGAGGAGGAGGAGGAGGAGGAGGAGGAGGAAGATCGAGAGGGCAAGAGTGGAGGAACGAGGAGTGGCCAGGAGCGGAGAGGGGGGAGCGAAGATGGCCGAGGGAGCGGCGGAGGAGGGCATTCGCAGGTCCTGCACCGTGTCCTGTTTCCCGCAGGGGCTCGGGCCTTCCTCGCTGTATCCTCGTAGTGCCACCGGCCGCGCGCCGCCGAGGAGAACGTGCTCACCACCCTCTCCAGGGCGCTCGACGCGGGCGCGAGGCGCGAGCGTGTGGCCGTTATCGGCTGGCCACCGCACGGGCCAGGCGGCCGAGGCACGACCAAACACGCACTCCTGAGGCGAGACAGATCAGGCTCGGCCGGCTCTTTGCCGCTGGGCCCAGCGTCTGGCCCCTGGAGAAGCTGTTGGGACCTTCCTGAGCACCCCCCCGGTCCTCGAGGTGGCCAACCGCAAAGAATGCGCCTTGGCCGCCCTCTGCGAAGCAGGGTGCACTTTGCCCTCTCGCAAGCGTGGGGGTGGGACTGCACCGTTGAGGGTCAGTGCGTAGGCATGTGCGGGGGGACGCTCCCGCAGCTGGCGGTGCCCTGCCTTCATAGAGTGAATTCCAAACATTTGTGTTTTTTGTCTCTGTCTATCTCTCTCACACTTCCAGTGGCGCCCATCAGAAATTCTTGACGCCTCGCGTGTCCCCACCAGCCCATCCAGAAACGATGCCCATGAGAGCTGACGCGGGGAGAAAGAGGAAGAGACACGCATAGTCAAACAGCGAGGGAGGCCGGCCTGGACGGCGTGTTGGGGCCATCTCCGGGCCCGCGTGGGGGCGGGGCGAAGAAGAGGAGAAGAAGGAGGAGGAGGAGGAGGAGGAGGAGGAGGAGGGGGCAGGCAAGAGGAGCAAGACGATGAGAAGGAGGACGAGGATGAGTAGGACGAGGACTAAGAGAGTGAGGAGGAGGATGGCGAGGGGGAGTATGAGAACGAGGAGTTGGATGAGTAGCAGAGCAGAGCAGATCAGCACCAATGATCCGATGAAGTGCAACTACCTCGAGACTTCAGGCGTTCGAGAACCACTTAAGGGCCCCGATATTATTTGGGGCTCTGCAGGGGGAAACCACAGGCAAAAACGAGACCCCCATACGGGGACACCTCAGGGGCTCGCCTATGCACTCCGTCACTGAACAGAGCCGAGGGTAGGCGACGTGAGAGCCTACCCCAACACAACCGCAATTAGGACTCACGGCGCGGGACCGCCCAGACGTCCGAGGGCATCGACGACCCGACGACTCGGCCATCCCCCAGAGTTCGCTCGGCCAGGCTCAGCAGACGCAGGGCTGCGGAGAGGGCCCGAACCCGCTCAGCGCCGAGAGAAGCTTGTAATTGGGGGGGCCGGTAAAACATTCCAACCTCCAGTGCACCATCCGAGTACGTGAGGATCAGGGTCGACGACCGAACCTGGAGGGCGAGGGGAGGCCCGCCCTGGAGGTGACCCTGGAGGTACAACTCAGCGGCACGGCGAGAGCCGCTGACAACAACCAGGCGAGAACGAAGCTCAGGCCGACCACTCAGAGCTCGGAGTCCTCCTCGGGCTTCTTGTCTGTGAGCCCCAGCTGGTTCAACAGCTTCGCGGCCTCTCTCTCCAGTCCTCCTCGGGGTGGCGATCCTGGGAGGTAGGTGGCCTGCTGGTTCTGCTCGTTCGTGCCTGCTGCAACGATCGTGATCTGAATGTCCTCCATCAACGTGTGTTGAAAACCCTCCCATTTGTTCGCCTGGTTCTGAGTCCCCAGCATGATCTGAAACTTGAATATGTCGGGCTTCTGCATATTCTTCTTGTTGAACCAGCACGCCTTGATGAGGAGATGGCGGCAATGTACCGCCAGAGTGTCGAGCGCCGTCGGCGCCAGGATCACCTTCTTCCAGTAGCCCTGAAACAGCTCCTTGACCACCGTGGGTGTCGCATTGGCTCCCTCCCCCTCCGTGCAAGCCCACTTGAAGAATGCCTTGACCGCATGTGGCCAGGGAGGCCCGTGCTTGTGCTCTTTCCCGTCGGCTTTGTAATTCTCCGCGTGCGCTCGTCCCACCTGCTGTAGTACGGCCACGAACGGCACCTCCGCTCCCACCATGTAGCACGTGAAGCAGGCGCCAGCCACCTCGGCCAAATCGCGCGCGCTGGTGAGAACGAGCTTGCTGAGCACCATCAGGAGCGCCGCCAGCGCGCCGCCCTTGCCGCCCTTCTGGTTGTCCTTCGCGTCCTGGCCGATCGCTGCGAGCAGGCGCGCGTGTTTGGCACCCTTCGAGTCGCTGCTGCTGCTGCTCTCCTCCACCCCTTGCGCTTCCCCACGGCCCAGCTGGGTCCTCGTCCATCTCCATCGCAGAGCACACGGAGGAGGTCTTCGAAATGAACTCGCGAATGGACATGGAGGTCGGCTTCGGGAGCAGCTTGAGCCTCACACAACCGACAATTGAAGGGGTCCTCAGGAACTTCGAGCTCGAGAGTCGTGCTGAGCTGGCGTTTGCAGAAGCCCGAAGCGAACGAGTCCAGAACATGGTTGTAGGCAGAGCTGCGGCTCAGGAACCTGCTGCAGCAAACGAAGCATGAGGTCCCCTGGGCAGCTTCGGCGAGAAGGGTCTTAAAACCATGAGCCACACGAGCATGTACTAACCATTGCCGTTTAGTCAAACGCCATGTGGCGCAGCCGTCGATCGGGCAGTTGAACCCCTCAGCGTGCCCAGCGGGTGCCTCTGGTGGTGGTTGCCCTGGAGGAGGTAGGCAGACGGAGAGCCACGCTGCCCTGACGATCGAGAAGGTCCAGAAAGGTTCAGCTCCACGAGCCAGCCCCTCAAGTCCGCCCCCTCGAGGAACACCAGCGGTGCTCCACACTAAGAGCCCATGTCCTCCTCGATGTCAGTGGAGGTCATCCGAAGCGCCTCGAAGTCGCCGACATACTGAATGTCCAAAGGGTTCGCAGCCGGCGTAAGGTGGCCCTCGGAGGTGAGCGTGCTGAGCCCGCGCTGTTTCTCAATTTTCATGTCGCCAGAAAGGGGGGGGCCACTCGCTCGCATGTACGGCAGGGCGGACTGATGGCCCACTGTTGATACCACCGCAGGCGTCGAACCCGAAACTCAACTTCCAGCGGCGGGGCTTTCCAGTACCTCAGGTCGGCCTCCGAAGTGATCGAACGAGCGCGTCCCCCTTCCAAGACGAATGGGGGCCCCCTCATGGCATTGCGCCCGAAGAAGACAACCCTGGACGTGAGCTGGTCGATATGGCTAGGTGTCGGCAGGAACGCCTCGCATGCCGAGCAGGCTGGACCTATCACTTTGGAAAGGAAGAGTGCTCGCCTCTCCGTGTAGGCAGTGCGCTTAGACTACCAATGACTCCCCATGGAATGAAAACCGGCCGACATCGCTGCCAACCTGGAAGTAAATTCAGCCCGAAGAGAACAATTGCCCACGGCCTGGCCCCCGAGGTGGCGAGCAGCATCCGCTGGGGCCCCAGCGAGAATAACCTTCTTTTCGGACGCCTCTCGACGGTGGGCGCGCAGCGCGCGCAAACCAGTGCCCACGAAAGACAAGGGGCTCACGTTCTTGGTCGGTATGAGGGCGTTGCCGTGGCGACGCAGCTCTGCGGTCAGTTGAACGTCATGGGCCCGCGACCACCGCGCGAGCTCCGGAGTCGTTGTCTGGTCCGCCGCGACAATCTCCCCGATGGCATCATCTACACATGAGTGGAATGCCATGTCCCAAACCAAATCTTCGCCACCATGCTGTAAGTGGAGCTGACACCGCGTACTTGATTCAGGCCCGTAGGCCTCGAATTGTTCTTGAACTGCCGCGAGTGCCGCGCTGATGTCCCCGGCGAATGCCTTCACCGCTCATGGGGTCCCCAGCGAGTGCTCCAACATTGGGCCGTGCACACGCATCTCCAAACAGCACCGCAGCAAATCGAAATCGCTGCCTGCCGAAGGCCACGTGCCCCTCCTTCATAATGCCCCTCATTGGCTGCCTCCAACCTATGCCAGTCGGTCGAGGCAAACGCGTTTATGAAATCTTTCAAGTCCGTCACGTGGTTGATACCGGGGTTGCGTCGTTTCCAAATGCAAAGCTGTTGACCCAAGATGGCAGTCTCATGGCGTCGATGTGGTATGCATCCGTGGGCGAAGAGAGATTCGTCGCGCATCTCGGCAGGGTCGATGGCCTTGGCGATGGCTGCCTGCCCAAAGGGGTCCAGGAGGTGAATAACTCGTCTCCTTGTGAGCGCCATTACTTGACTTAGGTGCCAGAGTAAAGGAACTTGTCCACATCTGCGCAGCCGACGCATAAATGTCACGAGAACTCGTCGAGTGAACTCTTGATCAATTTCAGGGGTCTCATAGCCAACTCCATAGTAGCGTCCCGACATTCTGCGATAAGGGCGAAGTACTAACCACCATAGCTCAAGTAGTGCTAACCATGTCGGGCAGGCTCGTCGCTTCGGTGCTCGTCGTATCCAAGTTCGAATATCTTGCATGCGATGCTTCGCCCACGCCAGCTCCTCCTCGGTCCAAGGCGCCAAGAAAGACTGCGCCTCTTGTCCCGTGTCGTTGTCGTAGATGTAGTCGTCGGCCTCTTCGATCCAGTCGATGTTGGCAGCAGCCATGCCGCCCTGTCCAGCAGGTAGAGCCCAGCGCTCAGCAAGTGCTTCTCATGTAGGTGAGGCCACATGTGCTCTGCGATAGTCTCGCTTCCGTGGTCCCACCCCCGTTCCAGCTAGTACTCGTGAAAGTCGTGCCACCTCGGCCCTTCGTCCGTGGCGCCGAGCCTCATTCAGTTCGTCGACAGCGTCAAGCCCCCATTGTCTCCGATACTGTCGCCTAGCCGATCGCAGCCATCGAGCGCGGCAGCGGAGCTGCCATTGTACGCCCGGAAATTCAGAACAACCATCATCATCTGAAATACATTCGCCTAGTCGCTGTCGCCGTCGCGGATAAGGCACAGTATCATACTGGTCGGCATTCGGGCGCCTCCGAAAAATGCCGACCGCCAGTCGTCAGCAATGCATCCGTAAAGAAACCCCACTCTGCATTAGGTGTCTGCGCATCGTGATGAATCGCCTTCCATTCGGCTGAATGCCCTCGCAGATGCGTCTCCAGCTCAGTAAGAAAATCGGCCCTGCCCTGTCCACTGCGAAGCGATTGCATGAGGGCCTCTCGGTCCCACTGGACGCGACGTGGTAAGTATCCAAGTCGTCGGTGCCCTGTCATGTCGCAGTGGAGGTGAGTGTCGG